CATTTAAGAGACAAACAGGTTATGAAACACACCATGTACACTCAGAATAGAATAGGGTATGGACTGTAATAACAGAGGAATACGAAATTATTTAGTAGTCGAGAGGAGGAACGCTTATGTTTCTGGAGGGAATCAAGAAGAGTTGACTACCCAAGCCCTTCACCAGTGGATTAGCACTGGGAATGGAGGGATGTGAAGGTGCAGGGGAAGCATCTGTTTCTGCCTGAAAGAGAGTAGGGATTGGCAAAGACTTCGTGGAGGAGGCGGCATGTAACCTGAGCATTGAAAATTAAGTGGAATTCTCCGAGGTTGGGAAAATGAGATAAGAACGGGAGGGAATTCCAAAAAGATGAGATGGTATGAACTAAGCCATGGGTTTGTGAAAGGCTGTGGTGTATTTGTGAAAGGCTGTGGTGGGTTTGTGAAAGGCTGTGGTGTATTTGTGAAAGGCTGTGGTGTATTTGGGGGAACAAGGCCTATTTTGGTTTGTCTGGGACCGACAGGGCATGGAAGGAATAGGAGGAAACAGGTCAGGAAAGTGGCCTGGAGCAGACTGTGAAGGACAGGCTGAAGAATCTGTTGTGTGTTTGTTTGTTTGTTACTGAGAAGGGAATGAGGAGCCATGATTACTTGGGTGGAAGTTCTAAAAACTTGAGCAGCGGAGGAGGGGAAAGGATTGGATGGGAGAAAGATTAAGAAAGTGGTTTTCAAAAGGGATGGGCAATCTATCAGAATAACTTGGGACACTTTTGTAAAATATGCAAGCCTGTTTTTTTTTTTTTTTCCTCAGTCTTCTGAGGAAAAAAGTAAGAATTATTATTATTTTTGAGACAGAACCTCAAGCTGTCCCCCTTGGTAGCGTGCCACAGCACATAGCAACCTCCAACTCCTGGGCTCAAGCAAGTCTCCTGCCTCAGCCTCCCAAGTAGCTGGGACTACAGGCACCCGCCACAATGCCTGGCTATTTTTTGGTTGCAGCCGTCATTGTTGTTTGGCAGGCCCGGGCTGGATTCAAACCTGCCACCTTAGGTGTATGTGGCTGGCACCTTAGCCACTTGAGCCACAGGAGCTAAGCCAACAAGGATATTTTGAAGGAACTTGCTAGGTGATACTCCCTTCCCTCTGCCACTGTGCTCACGCAGCCAAGAGATGCTCCAGCCAGGTATGACAGGGGGGACAACAGAGGGTAGATTTGAGGGCTGTATGAGTTGGAATTAAATAAGATGGATGGAAAAAGGTGTGATAGAAAATGTGATAAATATTTAGGTATTTTAGTCCCTGAGATATTATAAACTGAGATAAGCCCAAGAAGAGGAGCAGGGTCTCTGGGCTAGATTAGGGTTTTACTTGATACAGGGGGGATTTGAGGTCCCTCTACCAGTTGGTAACATAAGAAGCCGGAGTTCAGGAGAGCGTAAAACCATACACACTCACGTCCAATTGTGAAGCAGTAGAAAATGCCATATAAATGTTCTGTGAAGTCTACGGAAAACCAGAGGCAAGCAAGATTTGTGCCGGCTGGCACAAACAAGTCTTTGTGAAGTGGACCTCATGCTCTGAGTTGCCTCTCAGAGGACTAGTAGTATATTCAACTTAGAGAGATGAAAAAAATAAAAATGGAGCTCATTTACTGAAAGGTATTGAGGTGAGGAAAATAAGTGCTGTTTCAAGAGATCTGGAAAGTAATATGAATGACTAAATCATAAAAACTAATATGCTCCTGTTTATTCTTCACTCCTAGAAGAAGCCGTTATTATTCGCAACTTATAGATGAAGAAATAAGAACAGAGAGGTTAAATGAATGGCCCAAATGGTTGCAAGTGGATCAGTGGGCCTGGAATCGCTATCCCTTAGCTTGAGATTCTTGTTCTAATCCATTAGGTTGTGTGTCCTTAAAGGCAACATTTATTTATTTATTATTTTTATGTCCCTCTTGACCTGGGATATAGCCTGTCAATACGTTATTTGTTGAAATCAACTGAAAGTGATCAGTTCTTTTATGTATTGAGTATTTGCCAGCTACACGTAAGACTAAACACAGAAATGTAACATGGTAGGACTAGAAAGTACCTTATAGATCTTCTAATACAACCAGCTTACTTCATAGAGCAGGAAATTAAGGCTCGAAGAAAGGAAGAGACTTACCTAAAATCTCACATCCAGTTATTAACAGAACTGGATCAATACCTAGATCTCAACTTCTCAACCAGGACTTTTCCCCGTACCATTCCATCTGACCGAGCCACGTATGCAGAGGGCGAGGCAGACCACCCTCTTCTGAGCACTCCAAAATTAGATGGAAATAGGAGAACATGGATAGGCATAAGAGGTGATTTCATAGATAAGAATTCCTTAATTTTTTTTCCATCAGCAGTCTAATCAATTGATTTAATAGCTAGAACAAGAGAAGGCCAATATAGGAATCAGGCACAGGAATTAATAAGCAATTGATCTGAGAAAAGAAAAACAGTAACAACAACATATTAAGGGAGGTGGTGCTTTTTCAGTGGATTATGATGGAATGCTGTGAGTCAGCTTTGTTTGTCTTGCCATCTTTTAAATATAAAACACAGTCTTACCTACCCAGGACAGATGTGAAGAAACACTGTCCCTGGTTGGAGAGCTGGATGAGGAAGTGATGGGAGCAGAGTACAGCCAGAAGGGTTGAGGGTGGGCACGCAGGATCCCAGCAGGCATCACCAGCTGTGTAATTTTGAGGGCTTCTCACTACTTTCTCTCTGACCTTGCACATCTGTAAATGACGGGGTTTGATTAGATCTATCTAGCTTTTGTTTGACCCCTTAGTTAAACCCCTGCCCAAAGATAATGAACGACTCCTTACCAGAAAGTGAGGTGAAAAATGAACTTGAGGCTGTTTTATGCAATTGTCGACGTAAGTTCCTAGAATGAACTTGAGGCTGTTCTACACCATCACGGATATTGGGTCCTGAGGGTGGGCAGATTCTGGTCCCGCACCAATCTTGAGCAGCAGCCTCCTTCTCCCACTCAACACAATCCCTTTGATATTCATCCATGCTGTCTCAGGTATTCAACAACAATAATTTGTTCCTTTTATTTCTGAGCTGTATTCCATCGCCTGGATATACCACACTTGGCTTATCTCATTAATCAATTGAAGGACAATTTGGGCTGTTCCCAATTTGGGGTGATTTGAATAGAATTACTATAAATATCCAGGTGCAGGTATCTATCTGAACATAAATTTCCTTTCCTTGAGGGTGGATAACCAGAAGTGATTGATCCTTTAGATTTCATCTCTTCTTACTTTTGAACTTTGGTTTGCCTCACCCCCCCTTGACTCACTGTGACACTGGGCCCACAGTGCTGCCTGCTGCTTCCTCAGATGAACAGACCCTGTCTACCAGTTTTGTTTCCATCTCTCCCATCCCACAGCCCTCCTCTTCATGGCTAGGAGTGCCTAGCATGTAATAAAACTGGAGCCCATTTTAATTAGTCTAAATCTTTCTCAGCTGTGAATTTGCTGCCACTTGGATTATTGCACCAGTATCGTAGTACCCTCTGCTGGCCGGTTCACAAAGCTGGCTTTATGCCTGCTCCAGGAGAGAATCTATAGGTGCACCAGAGAAAAGAAAATTAATTGGGGGGAGTGGGGAGGAGGAGTGGTGGCAGACTACCATTGTAGTGACAGCCTGACGGGGACACTTCATGTATTTGATGCTACACATATAGATAAATGCTGCAATATTTTTGTGGAACCCTGCAATATTGTGCTTGTCTTCTCAATTGTAGGCAAAGATGGGCTGTCTGGAAAGCTGGACTCAGCCTGGAGCATGTTCCCCAGATTGCTATTTTGTGAAGGCTTCCGCATACAAACGACTCAGATCCAAACATTCAGAAATGATCTTGGAGGGCCATCTGGTTCTTGCTGGTTCTAAAAGCTTCATTCAGCCTGGGGTATGGATCCAATGCAAAAGATAGTGAGAGCTCTTCACTGAAGTTTAGTATACTCCACTGACCAAGGCTAGGAGCTGGCCTTTAAAAATAGCCAGGGCCGATGCTCCAGAGGCTAACTGGGGATGCCTTCCATAGGTCAGTGGAAGTCTGATAAATATTTAATTGGTGATGATATGCTTGTATGGCGATTCTCTCTTTCTCTCTCATACACTCACACAGAACAGCACAATTTTGTATCATCAGGGAACATGTGTTAATTTGTTTGGGTGTCTGAAACAGTCTGGGAATTAGGCTGAACCAGCATGTCGGGCAGCGAGGTCTATCACAGCCATGTAATTGTCATGATGTGTCATTTTTAATTTGTGAAGACAATACTGCCAACCTTGCTGTTTGGATAATAGCGCTGATGGATTTGCCATTTACACTCGCTGGTTGCTTGCCTTTCTGATCAAAGGTACAGCTACACACTTTGTGGCCAAGGGGCAGGGAGTGTTTCCTCGTTGGGAGGCTCACAGGCTTGAATAGGGATGGGAGCCTGTGATCTCAGCCTCAGCTTCTGACTCTGACAAGTCCAGTCAGAGACTGGGCTTCTTGGGAGGGGCACACAGGGCCTCAGGGAGCACAGATATAAGACAGCCATTGGATCAAGCACAACACGGGGGCACAGGCATGGCTGTCACTTGATTCATTTTTTATTTCCGTGGACTTTGGGTGTCCCATCTGAAAGTGGCACGAGGGGAGGTGTGTGTGTTTTCTTTAGCTTATGCAGACAAAACCAAAATATATCCTATGTTATGACACTGCAATTTATTCTTTAATATTTTCTTATATTCCAGGATTTAAGGTTCTTGAATGCTTAGACTGTGTCTTATTTCTGTGTCTCCCATACTAGCATAGCACCTAGCATAACGAAGACATAATAAAGGAGCTTGTTAAATGCTCTGAATAAATGTGTGCCCTTTTAAAGGACACTGCATGTCGGATGACATCTATGAATCTTGGGGTCATGGGGAAGTTATTTCACCCTTACTGCAGGTAATTTGTCTTCCTGTATTCACTTTCAGTGGAGTTTCAGGCGTTCCCCATCTTGCCAAGACTGTGACACTCCAGGAAATCTCTACTACTAAAGAACAACAGATCTAGAACGTCTCTTAGATGAAACAACTACTGGTAAGTCCCTACCCACAAGTTTAACATTTGTTCCTAAAATGTACCGAATAACTACATAGATCCCCATGTCTGGGAAGGAGTACCCAGGGTCCCTGCTGAAGGCCATAAAGCACAACCTCTCAGCAGTCAAAACCAAAAGGTAATGAATATAACATGCTTCTCTGTCCTAGTATTCTCTAAAAGTGAAATGGCATTTAAAATCATTTCTGTTCATCAACAAGTTTAGCATTATCGGTTTTATAAAGCTCTAGAGAGGCATATGGTCTCCAAGGAAGACTGGATAGGGCTTTACCAGCCTTTGCAACAAGGCTTTTTCTCTTCCTCTCTTGGTGTATCATACTTTCACATGGAATCTTAAGATTTCTGTTTGGGTAAGGTTCCCACAGGGGCTCCACCTGCCATGGTTCCTTAAAGCGTTGGCTAGGGAGCTAGAGACCCAAGTTGGCTCCTGATAAGTTTACTCATGATAGTAATTGTAGTGCTTCTGTTTTCTTTCAAATCGTTGCAAGATATAAATAACATAGGAATTACCATTTTAGTCATTTTTAAATATACAGTACAGTAGTCAAGTATATTCACAGTGTTGTGCTACCATCACCACTATCCATCCACAGAGCTCTTCCGCCTTGAAAAACCAAAGCTGTTAGACCTCTTAGGCAATAACTCCCCATCCCTCCCTCTCCCCAGCTCCTGGCAACCAACGTTCTTTCAGTCTCTTAAGAATTTGAACTCTGGTGTATCCCATATCAGTGGGTTCATATAGTAGTTGTAGTTCTGTGGCCAGCTTATCCATGCGTCACGTAGCATAATGTTCTCCAGGCTCATCCATGTTTGAATTTCTTTCTTGTTTAATACTTAATCATGTTTCACTGTTTAGATAGGCCCCATTTTGTCTCTTCATTTATCCATCCATGGACACTCTTTTGGCTTCTATCTTTTGGTTATTAAGGATCATACTGCTATAAATCTCTCTCTAGGTCTGGGCTTCCAGTTCTTATAGGTACATACCTGAAACTTGTTAGAAAGATCAAGTGGTAATTCCATTTGAATTTTTTTAAGGCGTCATCACATGTTTTTCACAGTGGTGGCACCATGTTCCACTAAGAATTCCAGTTTTTCCACATCCTCATCAAAACTTGTTACTTTCTTTTTTTTTTTCCCCATGAGTAGCCATCCTATAGGAGCCATGTGGCATCCCATTATGTTTTGATTTGCATTTCTTTAATAGTTAGTGTTGTTATTTCCACCCCCTGCACTTATTAGTCACTTGTATCTCTTTGAAGAAATGTGTATTCAAGTCCATTATCCGTTTTTGAATAATGGCCTTTCCTTTTTTGTTGTTGTTGAATTCTAGCAATTTTTTATATATTCTGGATCCTTTATCAGATCTATGATTTATAAATATTTCCTTCCATCTTTTAATTCTGTTGTCTTTTAATTCTGTTACTTGTGTCCTTCAGCACACAGAAGTTTTTAATTTTGAGGCAGTCCAATTTACGTACCTTTTTCTTTTGTTGCCTGTGCTTTGGGTTCAAGAAATCATTGCCAAATCCAATGTCATAAAACTTTGCTCCTATATTTTCTTCTAAGAGTTTGATACTTTTATAGTTCAGGTCTTCACGTAGGTTTTTAATCTATATTGTATAGTACCTGTTCATTCCTCCCTAGACTGACTTTCTTGAGGAGAGAGACTATGGCTATTCCTCATTGTATTCTCAGCACTTCTTAGCATATATGAAGGCTGTCTGGAAAGTCTCCAGCCATGTAATATGAAAAATCGAGACCTACATAGCTAGACACTTTCTGGACATCCCTCGTATACCTGGCACCTAGTGAATTATAGTTGAATGAAATAACTTTATCAGTTACAATGATAATAAACCAAATATTCCACTTTTAGTGATTTGCTGCCTCCATGGAAACTATGCCAGTTCAAAAATTTTAACTACCTGAGGAGCCAAAAAGAAATCCTTGAGTTAAAAAGGCAACTCTACTTTCAAAGCTTTCAAGGGCTTTTTGGCATTTAATTTATTTACTTTTTCCCGAGGATGTTTAATGGAATATTTGGGTATCTGTCATAATAATTGTGCTTTTATCACATTGTCCTTGAGTGCCTTTATTGAAGGCTCTGTGCATAGTTAGTTCTGTGGGGATAATAAAGATTGCACCAGGATGTTTCTTTCATCCACATGGGTCCCTAAAACCCCGAGTGAAGCGTGGGGTAGAGAGCTGGCCAAGTTAGTTTCTTGTCCTTGGGTAAATCATTCCCTATTTCTGAGCCTCTCTCGATTACTTTTTTTTAAAACAAGAGAGGGGAAATTAGAGCACGTACAGGATTTCTTCTAGTTCTAAAATTATAAAAGTTTAGGTATTGTTGATAGGACGATTCAAATAGGAGTAGAAATGCAACCCCTTCTGGGAAAACGGGAAGACGACATTTGCCGTCATCTGGCCTCTCAAAGAGAAACTTCCTGCCACAGAAATGTTCAGGGCAGTTAGGGAAAGGGAAGACTGGGAATCAGCCCTTGGGGTTATGTTTCTACTTTTGCCACAAATGCTGGTTTGGAGGTTGGGGGGCTTTGAAAATGAAATAAAATTACTATTATTGATGTTGCTGTTATTGAATCAAGGACATCTTCTTCATATTTTTAGCCATTCTGGAGTGAATTGTCTCATACTTGGATGTGTGGGGTGCAACCAGTTGAAAAGGTAAAAGAGCTCTTTAACAGTAGTTAAAAGTATGAGTACCACCTACCCCACCCTTACCCCACCACCCTCACCAAAACTCCATTTGCCCTACATGTTTTCTGGGCATGTTTCAACAATGTTTAAGAGACAGTTACAGCTCCCTGAAAGATATACCTGCAAAAGGTGGCCCAGGAGTACTGGTATCTGATCCTGAGGGTTCTGTTTTGCTATGGCCATTATCAGACCTTTTCTGAGACTGGGACACTGGGCCATCCTTATACTGCCAATCCAACAAGACCTAGCTAGGACATGGGGAAGATCTGTATTCTGACTTCTGTTCTTTCTATCTGAATGAGGTTTGGGCAGGTGACTTACTCTTGCTGGGAATAGCTTTCCACAACTCCAAATAGTAAGGATTTTACCTATTGTTAGATTGTCAGAAGAGGGGGAAAGGAAAGGAACTAAGTTTTATGGAGCACCTTCTAAGTGCTAGGTACTGTTAGGTATTTGTGGAAATTACCTTATTAGTGCTCAAACAGTTCTATGAAGAAGCCATTGCTAGGCTTATCTTAGGATGGGATAATTGACGCTCAGAGAGGTGAAGTGGCCCGTTTAAAGTCACACAGCAGATACACGGCAGTCAGGATTGCAGTCATGGCTGCTGGATCTATAGCCCGTGTTCTTCCCCCTGCGTCCCCAGACCTTGACCTGGTGTAAAGCTGACGTATTTTGAACTGATAGGGACTCGCTCCCCCCTCTTTCCACTGCTGAAGTTGCTAATTTGCTTCCTTCCTTCCAGTTCTTGAGAAAGGGAGCTCTTTCAACCTCTGGGTCTTCTGTTGTTTTACATTTGCTGAAGAGCAAATACCATCTATTTTTCTCAGAAGTCATGTTTTCTAGAGAAAAAAAGCAATTTCTCGTCTGATTTGAGTGGCAAACAATTGCTTCAAAGACAAAGGCCCAAATGTAAACGAAGCTTCGTCTGTCTGTGCTCCTGCCTTGAACCAACGTTTCTCTCTCTTTTCTTTTTTCTAAATGCAGTCTCCAAACTTGTTCTCACTGGGGCCCTGGTGAGTGTGATGGTGTCCAGATTCGTGCTCTGGGGACACAAAATCACAAAAGGCCTAGTTGACATCCATTCTGCATCTGGCTTATTTGATGCCAGAGGAGCACCAAGGTCTCCTGAGAGAGCCAGGAGAGATTTGCCTCCTGCAGAGGTTTGGATAAGCCCCTGCTAATCTCTGTGGCTTCTTAAGGGCACACCTGCTTGTCTGCCAGCCAGCAGCCTCCTTGCTCATTTCCCCTGGGATGGCTAGGGTCAGAGGGCCTCCAGAAAGCCTTTTATCTCCACCCCCCACCAGCCCCCCTCACTAGCACCTGGGTCCACACTTAAGACTTCCTTTCAGGAGAGGTCAAGATGTTGTCCCTCCCAGGATGGGGGCCGGGGCTCTTTCCTTCCTTTGGAGGCGGGTTGCTTATTCCATCCTTCTCAGATCCACGTTTGATTCAGAGTTAATCATGCACGGCTCAAACTTCATCTTAGGGGGGCGAAGCTGGGCTGAATTGGTTTCTGGGCTGTTGAGCTGTGAACACATAGTAGGTGCTCAATAAAGAAAGCTGCTGTCTGATTGTGACCTGCTTGTGAACTCAGAAAAGACACTGTCCACTTTCAATCTGTTTGACCATTGGAACGTAACAGTAAGACCAATAATGCTACCAGGTCAGGGAATCAGGGTGTTATTTCTGCTTTGCTGTGGGAGACCGAGGTTCTCCCTTCCCTCTTTCCCAAAATCACATTTTCCTTCTTGATTATCTTTAGGAGTGGTTAGTGGTTAAATTGATGTGTTTAATGTGAGCATTCTGCTGAAGATGGGTGGCCAGAGACTGTTGTTTGGCATAGGAAGCTTCTAGTTTGCCTGCTTTCTTTTTTCTTCCCCTTTCTTCTTTCCTTTCTCTCTCATTTTCTCTACATAAAATGGAGACAGATTATTTTTGAAAAGGGCACTATCTATTAATCCGGTAATTTTAGTATGAGAGTGTGGCAAAAATATCTAATTTAAAAATCTGTGACGTCTCTTCCTTTGACCTCACCAATTGTGCAGGTTTATAATCCTGCTTTCCCCTAAATCCACTAATATCTGTTGAGCCTTTCTTTAGTTTGGGTCCCTGGGCTGAGTAAGACAGGACGAATCCAGTCCCTGGGAACTTTGGTTTCACTGGGAAGATAGTCCAATGGAGTTGTAGAATAGTTAATTGTTGTGGATAGACAGATTGGTGACCAATATGAGTATTAAAAATGGAGGGGGCAGGCT